AAAAAAAATAACTCATATTAACGAAACTCGACGATAATTAAAACTTTTTCCCTATACTTTATTTATTCTTATTCATATTATAGTTTTTCTCTCGTCTTCGCAACCGAATTCAATAATTATTCTCATCATCATCATCATCCACACTTTTTTTTTTCTTTTCAATTTTTCGTCGTCTTTTTCCCCACCTACAACATATTTAGTAATTATAGATTTATTATATATACTTCTTGTTTGTTTTTTTTTTTGTTTTTTAATCCTCTTAATACATCATATATTCAATTATTATAATACATATAGCTTCATTAGTATTTAAGTTATCGTTATTAGTTTTTTTTTTGTTAAATATAATATTATCAAGTAATGTGTTCCTCTCGTAATAATTTCTTGTTTTTTTGCAATTTCTTCATGGTTTTTCGTAAGCGTTTAGCGGTACAAGTGTATTCAAAATAAAAAATTATAACTATATAAAAATATTCAATATTTATATTATATACCATATCTTCTCTCAATATTTACGACTCGCTCGTCTCTTCTCTCTATACCAATTCTTTCTACTTACTTCTCTTTTAAATAACAAGCAGATAACAATAAATATATATATACGTAATTATTTATATTATGGATTGCACGTTTTCGGAAATACGTTGGTTCCATCCATCTGATGGATACTCAACTTGTGTAAACATATACACGGTGGATCATGAAACGAAACAATCTCCGTTTTACTTATCAATCTTTTACGTTTCAATATTTGACAGTTTAAATCGGTCAAAACTAGACGTTTATGACGTTTCATCTTTCAAACATTTGAAAACGTCAAATTTAAATACTTATTGTTAAAATGTCAAACAAATGTCAAATTTGTAAAAATAAAGAAACGTCAAAATTTGAAAATGTCATGACAAACGTCAAAAAAATTGAGAAACGTCAAATGTTTATCGATGATAAACGCGAATCATTCCAATAAGTCTGGAATTTCGTTGATTCGTCTCGTATTTTTGACACTTGATAAATGACAAATTTCCAAAAATTAAATACCATTATTTTATTGAGAAATAATGAATAAACATAATGCATGAATCATCCGACAAAGTGTGACATTTGAATGACATTCCTGTGCGACCTCCAAAGCAGATCGAGCAGACACGTTATTGTTAATTGTTTCTTTTCGATTTTGATTTTCAAGCGCATTTGAATTGTGTTGAATTTTCTGAACGAGCACGAAGAAGCATTTGCACGAACCGTCAGAAGCCATTGTGTCATATTAGCGAAATGCGACGAGCCGTAGACGATCTGCATTTTGATGACCATCACAAATAAACTTGAAATCAACTTTTGTTTTGGCATCGTTAAAACACTTCTATCGTACTCTTTGTAATGTTCTCTTTTTATTACATTTACATATTAAGTTTCTTTACATCTTAACGATTATTTACTCCAATTCATGTATTATTCACTTTACAATAATAATAAGAAATATTGTTTATAGTCTCCTGAGGATCGAATAAACACGTTTAATTTAATGACTATAAAAATTTGACATTGACGTTCAATTTATTTTAAATATTTGTATGATGTAACAATATTCGAGTAACTTTGTCAAGTCTAGTTGACCAAGACTTTTATTGAAACGTCAAAATTACGTGACAATCAAAATCTGTCAACGTCATTGCGTCTACTTGATTTGATTTTGGAATGATCCAACTGTCAGATTATGACAATTTAAATGTCATCATTTAACGGATTGTTAAAATTTCGAGGCGGATACGCGAATAATATTGAACACACACTCGGTTGCCCACGTGTTCTGCGCGACAAATCTCGCATCGCCCACCCGAAAAATTCAATTGCGCGCAAAGAAGAAGAAGGAAAAAACCAATTTGACCATCGAATTAACATTGTGTTTTCGTTTTTGGTCTCCTCCGGAGCACCGTTAATCATCGCAGCATGACACACCGTGTATATTTATAGACTTAAGGGAATGTAATTTATACGACGTGATCTGGGATAACCGTAAATGTTATTCCGGTCAGCCGTATCTTTAGACAACAAAAGAAAAACGAAAGAAACAAACGAAATTTGGAATTGTTTTTTTTGTTTGTTTCGAGAATTGAATACGTCGCCCATCTAAGGTATATATTAGTTGTTGTTTTCAAAATAAATTTGTGCAGATAATTCTTAACATATGTACATTCGCTAAAATCAATCTCGTCACAACACTTACAAATTGGAATGAATCGTGTTATTAGTTATTTAATTTTTTTGTGTGGTTGGTAATTATTTGAAAGCTTTAGTTATATTTGTTTTGTTTTTTTTTTGTGTGTGGGGGGAAATAACCAATTCAGCTCCACCTCTAAACTATGACAACCCTGTACATTGTAACATTCATATATAATAGTGTGCCGAAAGTTTGTTGTGTTTCTTTTGTTAATTTAGTTATACTTCTTTGCGAACACACACAAAATACACACATTTACTGAGGATCTTAGCTTACTTTTTTTTTGTATCTCTTTCCTTGATTGGAGAGGAGAAGAAAACAAAAAAAGGAAACGATACTAAATCTAAGATTATTATTATACTGTTCGCTTTGTGTGAGGCCTTAATTTTAGTAAAGACCATCGATTTATCAATAATTTCTATTTAATATACATATATTTAGAGAGATAGAGAGAGAGAAAGAAATTTATTCTTGTTTCCGTGTACACATATATTTATATATATATATTATCATTAGTTTACGTTTACGATTAACTGGTTTTCTTTTTCCGCAGTCGCTCTCGTCTTCGGAATGTTTAAAATCTATACAAGCGAACATTGAGATTGAATAAAGTATCTTTTTTTTTGTTGCTACACGGTAAATTCAACTATCTACAAAAATAACGAGAGTAAGAGAGAGAACAGAAACAAACGTCACTACCGGAAAAAAATTATATAAATTTACATATATATGGAACATAGAGAGAGAGGAATGATTTGTTTTCTTTTTGTGTAACTTCAAGAAATTAAAATAAATGAACTAAAATTATTTAAATAGTAATGACTAGATCAAAATCACCCGCAAACTTAAACCTCTATTTATGAAACCTGTACTTGAGCATCAACAATTTCCCAATCTTTGACTTCTTTTTTTTTTCTATCACAACCCCGATTACCGCCGTCGCGTCCTCAACTTCTTCATTAAAGTCATCATCATCATCATCAACATCATCATCATCTCCGTCCTTAATATCAATCGCAGCGAATATCAAATCAAGAGGTTTATCATTCGATCAAGTGATTCGAGGGGAACATTTAAGTATTGGATATATTATATATATGTAAATTACGTTACGTTACGTGTAAGCAGCGCGAAAAGGGATTTTACGTAATCTATAGTTTCTAAAATTTGTTTTGTTTTTTTTTCCATTCTTCTTTTGTTATCCGAAGAGTCAGACAGACAGAGAATGAGTGAGTGAATGAGAGAGAGAGGATGAGGACAAGCTCAATACACAAGTACAGATTCCATGTTGAGTAATTCTCATTTGCTTGCCACCGTGACTTCGTTGGCGTCCTGCTGCTGCTTCTGAGTCTGCGGATGACGGCGAGCGGACTTGGAGCGGATCTGTCCGGCGAGCAGCGGATTGATCGCGTAGAGCCAGTCGTGGACCTCCTTCTCGTGGAGGGTCTGCAGGAGGTAACCGCGATGCTTGCTGACCACGCTGAACGTGTTCGGCAGCTTCACCATCGCCGATTGGTCCTCCGAGTACTCGACCTGGGCGGTGCCCAAATTGATCAACGCCCTCTCCACCGGATCCTTCTCATCGCGGAAGATGAACACGTACGGTCTGCGCACAGCCTACGCACAAAAGCAAACAATAAAGATCCGTGTCAGGGGTACCATCTACTTCCTACTTGAAACTCATGAAAGGTCATCATCATACTCAAACTCGAAGTTTACAAAAAAAAAATCAATCATTAACAATATGGGGTTTTCTATTTCGATAATTTCAATATAAAAACCCACTATAATTCTGTGAAAAATAAAACAAAATCATTTTGGAGAATGTCATTTGGCAATTTAGATATTTCTCAGAAATTATTGTTGCGAATGCGACCTCGCTTCATCCATTCCACGAAAAATTTAAAACTATTTCATTTTCAATACTGTCATTAGCAACTTCGACGATTCACGGAAATTCTGATTGCAATTTTAAATTACAAATTAAATAATGACGACAGTTGTTTAGATGTTTTTTTTAAGCAGTATTGGTTGCATAATAATTCCACGAATAAAAAGATGAAGACATTTGGTAACCAAGCAACGCATAATAACAAATGTTGTTGACGGTGATTCAGTAACGAAGATTCGGTAAGTTCAAACAAAGATTTTATCAATAAAATAGTGAATAATAGTATTACGCAATATCCAAAAGATATTTCATAAAGTGAAGTAATTCAAGAATTAGAATTGAGATGAAATATTATGTAAAGTATTTGATAAGATTGACTTACCACCCAGCGTTTCTTCCATCCGTAGGTCTTGTGCTCGAGCACGTTGAGATATCCTTTGCGTGCGACGACGGGCGATATCCTGATCTCCTCCATGTCTGGAACGTAGAGGACGAGCTCCGGGTCTCTGGGACCTGGCGGGGATGCGGGTAACGGTGGGAATGGAGCGCATTCTCCGGGAAGGGCAGCCCTCTCAGGCGAGCACAGCTCCATCGAAACGATGCTGGACATCATGCTGGTGCTCATCTCGGTCATCTCCTCGGAGGGACTGGTCACGTCGTCCTTCAAGGTGTTCTCGGCCCTCATGCCGCGCCCTTGGATGAGACGCACGCAACGGTTCAGCAGATCGCGTTCGCGATCCGAGTACTCGTAAACCTCGGTTGCTGCGGTAACGTTAATGTTGTTGTTCTTTGCGACCATGTTGCACACCTCCTTCTCGCTCTTCGTGTACTCGAGCTGCAGCTTATTGATACTCGTCCGGTCCAATCCCAGACGCTCCCTCAAGATCAGGGTGTGTCTGACCCTCTCGACCTCCTCCAGACGCGTAAGCTTCTCCAGCTCCCATTGGTGATCGAAGATCAAGGAGTCGCCACGTGGACGCCATCCGTGAAGATTCTCCTCGCCCCTAACGTACGTGGAGCTCGTGTCCAAAACTCGTCTCTGCCTTCTTTGCACTCCTAAACATCAAAGATAAATGTTAACACGTGATTATATTGAAGAAGATTAAAACTAAACATGCGAGGATTTACGAGTTTTTTTGGAAGAGCCAATCTGAAGCGGACCTAGTAAATTTTGGGATCGAAAAAGTGTGAGTTTTTTTAAATTTTGATATATTGTTTTTTTGAATGAGGAGGACTAGTCTAGGGAGCTACCTGGACTACCTGCTTCACTGGCGCGCCTCAAGAGCAACTCGTACACTCCGCTCAGGCGATTCGCTTCGGCATTCCTATAGTTGCCGGAGAATAGGTGCTTCAGGGACCTTGGTCCGGTCCTGGCGTCGCGACCATAGATAACCATACTGAGATCTTTGGTGATTATCGCTGGACGACCGCAGTTCTCGAGCTGCAAAATATTAAATGTTGTTTCTTTTAGGTAATTGATAATTAATAATTACCTCGAGATATGCCGAGATGGTCATAAAGATCTGTTCGCCCTGCGAGGTGACGCGATTGAGCAGGGCGGAATTGTGCAGGGAGCTGTCCCAGGCGGCCTCGAATCGGAACATCGTCCTGTCGTCTCCGGGAATCTCGAGATACTCTCCAGGGAACAATCCCAATGATAGAACAGAGTTATCGTTGTCCTCGTCGTCTTCGGATTCCGGACTGTTCCTGATCCTGCCCACAACCAGTTCACGGACATCGCGCCATCTCAACTCGACGGCCTGATCGTGCACGATCGTGATTCTGATCCTTCTCTGGATTCCCTGATGGAGGAGGAACAATCCTCTGCAAGGTAAGTCGTCGCTGTGCTCGACCACGACGGGAACGTATTCGCCGTTCGGTGCCAACTCGCATATCTCGAACCAGACGAGTACGTCCACCTTGGCGTGGATGTGGGCGGTGCACGGGGATGGCAACGCCCCGAATTTGCTCGACCTCACGGGCTGCGAGATCGGAATCGAGGGTGGCAACATTCTGCGCGGCGGTTGACGCACCGAACCCTCCAGTTTGGCGTCCTTGTGCAACGGGTGCTGCTGGTAATGACCGAACACCTCGAAAACGATCGGCTGCGTCTTAATATAATCCACGAACGATTTCGACGTGGACACGGTAATCTAAAATTGATTGAAAGTTAAAAAAAGAAACAAATTCAATTTAGTAAAAAGATTTGAATACGTTTTGTACGTGATAGAAACCGAGCGGCGTTCCCTTTCCAGTGTTCTTGACTGGCTCAGTTGAGAACGCTTCGTCGTGTCGGTGGAGGAAGCTATAATTTAACGATAATTAATCAACGTTTAAATTTAACGTTTTCTGCGTTAATTACTTGAATTGGCAGAAAATGTCCGCGTATTCGGTGGAGATTCCAACTGCTTGGAGGACTGTGACCCTGAAGGTAAACTCTTTGCCCACGTTCAAATGCTCCGGGATGTCCTCCTCTTTGACGTCAGAGGAGACGGAGCTGTCGCCGCGACCGGAATCGGCGTCGCACTCGATCAGCTCGTCTAGCTTGATCGGGTCTATGATGTTTTGACCTTCAACAATGCGATCCTCTAAGTTATGCGCGTTTCTGTCCAAGATACCTGAACATCGACACGTTACAGAAAAGAAAGCGTTGCATTCGAGATGAAAGGCACATTTTTGCATGAGAGAAACTAACCTTTGGGAGATTCGAACGCGATCCTTGCGCTCTGCCTGACGCCGACCTGATCGGAATTGTCCTCGTCCATAACGGCTTGAACGCCGACGCGAAGATATCCGCGCACATCTCCCTTCTCGCTGACGATGGCCACCTTGTGGATCAAAGTGACCGGGTAAAGAAGGTTGCTGAGGTAGACGAAACCCCTGCCGACCATTCGGAACCACGGGAATCGATCGTAGAATGGATCTCCGCCGGTTAAAGATTCGACGTTGTAATCGGGCGAAGTTGGAGACATCTCTGCCTCGTTGTGGTACATCTCGCGCATCAGCTCCAGCCTTTGTCTGCTTGAGGTGGAAATAAGATTACACATATAGATGAAATGGCAAAAGACTAATGAACATTTATAAGCAAAACGAAATCATAGAGGTTCCGGTGCCACCATTGAAAATGAAGAACGGTAATCATAAAAAAGCAAAAAACCATAATGAGCCTAGAGTAAAAAGCCACGTACCAAGCCAAGAAAATATATATTGGACACCTATTATAATATATAGAATAACGGTTCCCAATATCTATAATAAGTAATAAACTTAAAAATAAATTCGCATCAATGTCACGTTTACTGTTGCTAACAATAATATTTTATAGATATTGGAAACCGCTATTAGAGTATTTATTATATATATAAATTGGTGATGGTGGCACCAACCTCGAGGGTAAAAGGCTGGAGAGTGAGAAGCGTGTCGTGGACGGGCATTGGCTCAGACACCGCAGCAGGGAGTCGTCGCCCTGCGGCGTATCCGGACTACCCGGCGACTCCTCAGTGTGGTACACCAGCCGCATCAGCTCCAACCTCTGACTGCTCAGAAATAGTCAAATAAATAGGTCTACCACGGTCCCCAACAAAGAACGAAAACGAATAACAACAACAAAAAGACGAGAACGGCAACCTAATACGAAACTAAACAAGTAGAAGAAGGTAAAATGAAGCTGGATCACTCACCGCAACTTATCCAGAGACCAATAATGGGTGGCCCCGTTCTTGGTGTCCTGCACCTCGACGGCGACGATGGTCTTCGGTGGTGCGCCCTCCTCGTCCGCATCGTAATCGATGGCCGGTCTCAGATCCGGCGGCAAAGGTGAGTACAAAGTGTCCGTCAACAATGTGAATTGGAATTGGACCTGAAGCATCGTTATTGCTTCAGCAAATTCGATTCAACTGTAATCTTGAGATAGCTCACCTTCTTCTTGAGCTCCACCGAGATCGCGTTGGCCTCCTTAAGGAAGATGGCGTTGCCCCAGAGATCGTCGCGAAGGGATGTGAACTGGTGGTGCTTCCACTTCCTCCACGCCGTCGCCGCCAGCTCGTACTCGCGCTCCGTCCAGTTGCATTCTGCGTCAAATAGAGGGTTCACTAAAAAAAAACGCTCCCTCTATAAAACCATAGGCTCGAAACACCCGCAGACTTACCGAAGATGTCGTCCTCGTTGTTGAAGTCCTCCGGCGTGTACGAACTGTACATGGACATTGTCATGCTCTGCTCCTCCACCTGCTTTTGGAGCGCATCGATCCTCGCCTCATAGCACTGCGCGCAATAAGAAAAACCATAAGCTTCAAGGCAAAAAGTAAATCTTCAAAAACGCACCTTGCGCTGCTCCTCGAAAAGCTGATCAGCCGTTTCCTTCTCTTTACGATACTGCTCCTCCAAATTCAGCAGCTTCTTCTCCATCTCCACTTTCAGATCCACGCCTTGCTTTTCTAGCAACTCAACGTGCGCGTAATTCCAATCGACGGGCGGTTCAGCAGTATCCACGGTGTCTCCAGCTTCCGCAGTTTTCTCGCGCATCTCGCGCGCCGCGTCCGGATTGTTGAAGCGAAACACGTGGTTCTTGCCCAGGATCACTCGGGAACCGGTCTTCAGCACTATAGGCTCCGTAACCTATCGAAGAAAAAAAAATACAACAAAATGTATCAAAGAGAAATGTTAAAAAAAGATCTCACCTCGCGCCCGTTCACGTAAACCAAGGCGCCATTCTGCGGTGATAAAGTGATAACGCCCTCCTTATTCTCAAAGGTGCAATGCTCCGAATTGATGTGCGATCCCGAAAGCTGCACGTCCTGCGGGATATTAGCCTCGGCCGATCCAATCCTTGTAACACCATCCTAAACAAATACAAAAGTATTACATTTTTAAAATCTTGAAAAGAAGTCGAAAGATTTACCTTGATGTAGTAAATCAAGCATTCTGACATAGATGGGTCTTCGTTTAAATTTACAAGATGGGGCGTCTGCTTCGGCGAGAACACGCCCACCGTGTTACCGTCCTCCTTGACGGCCACGCCCATTTCCGCGAACACGGCTTCTCGCTGAATTCGTATAGCTTCGGTTCTCTTCAGCTTCTCCTCCCAAGTCTCATTCAACTCTGCAAAAATAAAACAATTACATAAACATCGTGCAAAAACACTTTCACTTTAATCGAGCGATTTACCTGCTATCAACTTCTCGCTGGCCTGCAACTGATCCACGGCCTCCTCGGCGATGGTCGTCGAAGGCGTCCGAATCCTGCCGGTCTGAGTACCATCGTTATTGTTGTTGTTGTTATTGTTGATGTTCTCCTTGTTGCACCTGGTGACCTCCTCCGTACCTAACGCAACACACCCAACATTTAGCTTCGCGGCTAAACAACGACAAAAAAAGCAATTACAATATAGATATAATGGTGGCCAAATTGAAGCAGATATATATGATGTACAAAATTAACGAAAATAATGAAAGAAACATAAAGAAGCGTTCGTGTTGGACGAAAACCATTCATAAACTATAAAAGATAAAAATAACAATAAAAACAATAAATGGGAACGGATCATAGAATGAAAAACAAAAACGGTGGTGGCTTTTGCAACAATCACAACAAGAATAAAATAAAGAATTGGCTTTTGTAATAAATCGGTCAATCGTATGAGATGCAGATAAAATTTGATCAATTGATACTTTTGTTTTGTATACATATATATATAAATATATACATAAAAATATGAAACATCTTTGTGGCTGATTTTAAAGAAGCTTTTTAGAAGCCAATTTTTGTGTATGGGAAGTACTTACGGGGCGTCTCCCGCTTTTCAACAACAACTTTGCCGTCGGGCCCTAAGCAAAGAAGGTCGCCGCAAAAGAACACATCCAGTTTAAGAATATGTTTTGTTTTACGTTTTTTTTTTTATTTATTTTTTTTGTAAATCGGAGTAATAATTTTGAATCGCCAAAAATGTTGTTTCGTTGATTAGAAAAACGAAAATGATAATAAATTATAAATAAAAGAAATTTTGATTTGCCAATAGTCGGGTTTGTTCGTTTCTTTCTTTGTCTGGTTCAGATCTATCTTTTTCTGGACTTGGATGGAGGGGAGAGGGTCGGTCGTGCGATATTTACCTTCGTGCACTTCGATTCCTTCGGCTTTCAGAAGTTCGCGCAGCTTCTGAATTTCCTCTTTCAGTTCTCTGATCAATTTAGCGTTGGCGTCTTCGTTGACGATCGCCTTGCAGACGATGGCCTTGGCGCGATCCGCATATCTGAGAGCAGAAACGATTTAGTGCCAAAGCAGATATTAAGATATTACAAAATCAACAAATGAAGAAGTAAATGAAAGAAACAGCAATTGGAACAAACATTTGAAGATGTTAATATTTTTTTTTGAATGGGGAAAAGGTGTAGTTACCTGAGGGTTGAGAGTGTCTCGTCGTAGTTGATGTCGGCAGGACTGATGGCTGCGATCATGGCCGTCTTGCTGTTTCCGCCCAGATTCTCGCGCAACAACCACGTCAACACTGAATCTCTGTAGGGGATGAAGTCAGCCTTCTTGGACTTCTTGCTTTTCCCCGCCTAAATTTCAATTGATTCGATTGAAGCGGATTACAGGGGAAAGGTTTCAAAAATATAAAGGTATAAACAATGAAAGCCAATTTCACAATAACAACGTATGCCAGTGAATAAGATAACCGAAAACAAACTTACCGACTGTCGTTAGAGTATTTTTTTTTTATGAAAAGATGGCATGGAACATTGAATATATATATATAAAGAAATTTAATTTTCTCGATCTATATTGTATATTGTTGGTCAAGCGTTTCGTTACTTACGATTTCGGCGAGCGCCGAGATGACTTTGCCGAGCGTCGTCAAACTCTTGTTGATGTTGGCGCCCTCCTTGAGACGCGTCCCTTTCGCTCCGGTCGAATCGGCCCTCTCGGATCCTGCCAAATCGACCAGCGATATCTTGGATACCTTCTCGGTGCACAGATCCGTGGTCTCGTCGTACCTTTGAACAGAACAGTTTTTAAAGCATTCAAGTAAAATTTCTCATCCGATTTTTCGTACCTCTGCTGCGTGAAGAATATCGTGAAGACGGCGTGAGATCTGCTGCTCGTCTCGTTCATGTTCGTCGCGGCGACGGTTCTCGCCTTGTTACCTTCGTCGATCAAATCGTGGATATCCTGATAACTGGTGACCGCGAGCTTGCTGAGATCCTCGACGTAGGGTCCGAGCAAGGGATGCTCTCGCACCCTCAGATTGCCCTTGTTCTTAGGATTCAGCAGATCCCTGACCCGCTCGCAGTAGATCTCCATGTAGCTCACCTCTACTGAATACTTCATATCTGCTGCAGTATTCTTTCTGATCTTTGTGAAAAGATCCTTGCAGATCTGCGGGATGATTCCCTCCTGACCGTCCTCCTGCTTTCCCATCATCGTGTAAGATTTACCAGCTCCTGTCTGGCCGTAAGCGAAGATGCAGACGTTGTAGCCTTCGAAGGAGTGCAGCAGCATCTCCTCTCCGATGTCCTTGTAGACAACAGATTGGGAAGAAAATTCTGGATCGCTTTCCTGCGAAATTACAAACGAAAATTAATACAACAAAGTCATTTATTGGATTTATGTAATAAACTCACATTGTGCGACCAGTACGAGTAATCAAAGTTGAAACTCTTTATGGCCTCTTTCGATCCTGGAGGCGCTTTCGGATTTGCTATGGCTGAAAAACGAAAGAAGAAAAATAAAACATTGGAATTTGTGCATGAAACGTGTGGGAATATGCGGCAAATTGGAATTTTCGCCACCTGCTGAAATAATGGGCATATTCGTAAGAGCGAGGTGGGCTGAGAGCATCTGCGCTTCTTCGCGATCGATACGCGACGGCTGCGGCCCGGGGAATAAGCGCGCAATAGAGGCTCGTTTCTAGGCCAAAAAAAGGCGATTCAGAATTTCAATTCAGAGTTATATCTTTCATTGATGATATCTGATCATAATTTCTTGAACTTTTATAATTGGATAACTTGCAGAATCAATTTTGCTTTGTGATGTGATACTAATAAAATTTCTTCAAGAATGCTTTAAACGTGAAACTTTATAACTTTCAAATTGAAGAAATTAACTTACATAAATTAACGATTATCATAAAGTCTTAAATTCTTATTATGAGCTCAATCTCTACTTAAATTTGAAAATTGAAAAATCGAGTATATAAAGAATCAATAACTATAATCTAAGACTTACCGGTTGTATTTCCGCCCATTTCTATGATGCACTTGCATTCTCGCGTGATTTCTCTGTTGTTGAATGGACGAACGCGGACTGCTACTTTTACTGAAGACATGATGTTGGATTTCTATTTTTTTTCGTTTTCCCTGAAAAATCAATGAAAATTTTACAATTTAATTAAAATCGAACAATAAAAATTAACATACAATTAATAAACGTCATAAGTTAATATGTCAAATTTGACATTTGAATTGTAATTATCGAATTCAATTATTACAATTGCTATAGTAACTATCTTTGACATCATTTATATTTTTTTTTTAATATTGTTTCAAAAGATGTCACTTTGACAATTAGAAATTTAATCATTGTCATGAATTGAAATGTAAAAAAAAAGAGTTAATTTCAATACAATTTATATTAAAAAAAATTGAAATTATAATGGTAATTGACGATGAATTATAAATTCGAGCAATTTGAACAACTCATTAAATATGGATAAATACGATCAATTGGAATTGAACTTCAATTCGGATCGTTTATGAAATATAACTTTGAACGAGTTTTAGATGTCAATGTCAAAAATTTGACTGACTGTCATGAATTTGACTGAAAATTGAAAACTAATCTTACCAGTTGATTGACGTTTAATTGTCAATGTCAGATGAAATTTTTTGAAATATTATTTGGTATTTTGTAAGTTGTTATCTGAGATGATGCCTGAGACGAACTGCAATTACGTAAAGAAATGCGGAGACGACATTCGGCGCCGATTCCGTTTGCTGCGCGAATACAAATTTCGACTTCATTTCATAACAATTTTTATTTTTCCTTTACGACGGACGACCAAGACGTGCCATCCGCAACGAATGTGATTCATCCGGCGCACGTCCGCGTCTTGCGTAAGATCATCAAGCAAGTGTAAGTGGTGAACAACAAAAAAGATAAATGTTTAGGATTATTTTTTTTATTTTTTGTATATAGGCGCCGACGCGAGGGTTGCGTAAAACAAACCAAACCCCAGCCGCAACCCGCAACCCCTTCTCCACCTCTTGCACAACCGCTTATTGTGCAGGTCTGCACGTGGCAGAAGACCCCCTCTTGGAAACTGGGTCAACCCGAAATATTTAGCTGGGTGCCAGACGGAGAAGGAAATTGGGTCGAATCCGACCAGGGGAATGCCGACAATTTTAGCGGAGAGGCTTTTAACGGAAGAAAACCTCTCTCACTCTCTCGTGCGTTCGGGAAATTTCCATTTTCCTTCTGAAATACATCCCCCTAGCAAACTACATGATACACACACACTACATTCGGATAATTAGAATTAGATTACTCCTCGCTCGAGCGGCGCTGCATATCTGTTAACCCTATTATTTCCATCTTCGGGTTAGAACAAGAAAAAAAACACCCTTTCATCGACTTTGTCGCGTCCCTATTTCCAACTCCGACAATCTGCATGGAAATGCCACATTATTACAAGCGTTTACATCGCGATCATCATCATCATCATTTTGTTTCCATCCATGCAATTGAATACTTACTTTAATAAAGTATTCACTAGTTTATTTAAACGCGATTACGTAAAGGTGCCGTAAATAAGTTCGGTTGTTTTTCTCGAGAATTTTAGTGAGACTCGAGACTCCCCGGGGCGGCATTAGATGAAAATTCATCCGCAAAAACGAAGAAAAGAAACACACCGCATCTACTAAATTATTCCCGCAACATTATCTTCGCTCTTCGAGACGAAAAGGAGAGAACATATATACTCGCACACAGAAACAGACAAATATGTGGTGGAGAAACAATTTTCTACCCTCGTATATCCATTATTCACGAAGAACGGAAGAAAACTTTAAAACAGTGAAGAAGCGGGGTGAATAAAATGCGTTTCGTTTTTCGAAGAAAGAAATGAAGATGTTGGCCGCCGCCGCCGGATTGTTATCTTCTCGTTAAAGAGGAAAACGAATTGGCTTTCATCGTAAATTGGACTTGTTTTCGAATAGAAATTACGCAATCTGCGATCCGATGATAAGAAGGGAGATATACTAATTGGCAATTGGGCAGACCAGAAAAACACAGAAACGCAACTATCGAACGAAAATCCGTTTCGCATGTGACTGACATTACAAAAACATCATTTGTTTTCTTCAAATTATCTCTGACTAAATTTATAACAATTACAATTATAAAAGAAACAATTACTTCATATTTTTTAATTTTCGAATTATAAAATTGAACCAAATCGATATTCACAATTAACAAAAAAAAAAGATCAACTCTGTCGTATGTTTGTCCGAGGCGTCAGATTGATAAATCAATGATATTTGACATATGTCAATTATATAATTACTCACAGCGCTTATATTTGACACATGTCAATATTTTGAGAATTAGTATAATTCATTATTTCGATTTCTATAAAATTCAATACACAATGAATTGTTGTTGAATTTGATAACTGTCAAATTGGTGACATAATATGATTATGGTTTGTCCGAGGCGTCAGATTGATAAATCAATGCTATTTGACATATGTCAATTATATAATTACTCACAGCGCTTATATTTGACACATGTCAATATTTTGAGAATTAGTATAATTCATTATTTCGATTTCTATAAAATTCAATACACAATGAATTGTTGTTGAATTTGATAACTGTCAAATTGGTGACATAATATGATTATGGT